GAACTGCGCCTCATATGCCTTACAGGAGATCATCAAACAGTTGTCGACTGAGGGCTTCCGCGTCGACGACTTGCCCGAAGAGATGGTAGACTACTGTCGACTACTGCGTCACACGCGCTACAAGTCTATGAGACCTATGAATACGTCCTCGGCCTACACGGAACCCATATTTGGCTCAATACTGGAGCTCTCGTACGCCGAGTGGCTGAACCAGTGGCTGACGGCGCTGTACGAGTCGTTCATATTGAACAAAGAGAAGGACTGCGAGCAGAGTCAGCTCCACGAGAACCTGTCGCAGGTGTTGGGCCCGTCAGCACCGGGAGGGCCGCCAAACTCGCAGCGCTCAGAGGCCTTCGAGCGCGCCCTGAGCTCGGCGTTGAGCCGCAATTCAATTGCGCCGCGACTCTTAAGCGTCACATTCCTCGCTCAGTTGCGTAACCAAAATGTGGCACAATTTCTATTGCCATATGTGGTGATCGTGTCGCTCAAGAACGCCACTCACGAGCAGAGGAAATACATTGTCAACGAAGTCAAGACCATTATCGCGGCGCTCACCACCGATGAGTCGATATTTAGCGGCGAAACGGACCATATGTGGTGATCGTGTCGCTCAAGAACGCCACTCACGAGCAGAGGAAATACATTGTCAACGAAGTCAAGACCATTATCGCGGCGCTGACCACCGATGAGTCGATATTTAGCGGCGAAACGGGACACCTGTCCTCTCAAACGGTGTTTCATATCTACGATTATCTCAAGATATGGCACAAAAAGCGCATACATTTGCACAAAAACGTGTTGTTGACGCCCCCGCAGCAGACGCCCCGACACGTGACGCCCCGGGAGCTGAGGACCGCCCAACTGAAAGACAAGGAGTTCCGCGGCGTCGACTACTTCCTGAGAAACATATCGACTAAAGAGTTGGCTATACTTGCGTTCAAATGCAAAGCCTTTTCCCGAGCACTGAGATATCTGGAGGAATACATTCGCGGCGACGACACCCTATTTCAGAAGGAGATGCAATTCTTGCAGCAGATATTCCTAGGGCTGGACGACCCGGACTCCGTGGACGGGTGTAACAGCCGGCGCGTGGAAACGCCTACCATTGACGAGCGTATACTCATTCACGAGGCCATGGGTCAGATCCAGGAGGCGATGCTGTGCTGCGCCAAAGCCGTCGAGCATAACCCCCAGGACTTCTCACTCCAGCAGAAGTATTTGCAGACATCGATGAATAACTTCGATCAGTCGGAACAGGTGTACACATATGGCTGCGGTCTTATGCACCGGAGGCCCGAGTGGAGGGACCGGTTGGCGCCGTACGTCATCGAAGCCGTCTGGAAGTTAGGCGATTGGCGCCAATTGGAGCAAATGGTCGACAAATACCCGGCCACTTGTCTCACCACATTTGGCTCCTGTGTTGGCGACCTGTTCTCATCGATAATCACCCGTAAAGAGAGCGACTTCGAGGAGAAGCTGCAGAACTTGCGCAGAGGACGGGTAGGCCCCCTGTCGGCGGCCGCTATAGAGATCAGTGGCTACGTGCGGGGGCACCAGTATGTCATTGAGTTGCATATTCTGAATGACATTCAATTGATTTATCATAAGCTGATGGCAGAGCTCGACGAAGAGGTGTCGCCCATAGACTCGTTGAAAGACAGGTTTCAGTCAGTGGTCGAGGTTTGGGATCAGAGGAACGATTTGGTGCGAAAGACCATCAAATGTCAGGAACCGGTGCTCAACGCCCAGAGAGCTATGCTCTCAATACTGGCTCAACGGGCGCACAATACGGACCTCTCGCTGGACATCAAGAAAGCGTTGTTCAAGTCGTGGCTCATGTCGACGAAGACTTCGCGCAAATCCGGAAACATTCAGAGGAGTTATACGTTTTTGTTGGAAATGAACAAAATTAGGGACTCTTTGTGTCTAACCTTCGGCGACGGCACTCACGAGTCGACCGTCAGTTCATTGACTGATTTGGAGAACTCGCAGGCGATCCTCGAAACGGCCAAAATCGAGTGGAATAAGAGTCAAATAGGTTTGTTTTGGTGATCATCCGGGTCTTTATTGTACTAATTTATGTCTAAACTCCGACCTACAGGTGCCATACAGTACCTGAAGAACCAAATCGAGCAGAACTATCAGTCGTCTGTGAACTACTGTTTCCAGAGAGCGGTGACTAATCTGAACGAAAGCTTCTCGGCTGAAGAGCTCCTGGAGATCAAGAACTCGATGTCGTACGGGAGCTCATCGATACCCAGCTATCAGTCGTCGGCCACAACGACAGGCAGTGATGTGTCGATTCGAGACCAGACGGCCGACGAGGCGTTCGCCCGACTGCAGCTCCTGTACGCGAAATACTGCGACCAAAACGGACTGTTAAACCAAAACAATTGGCGATTCTCTACAAAATCGTGACAATCGCTGCCCCGAACGCAGAGGAGAGTCACTACAACCTCGGGATGTATTGCCACCGGATTTACAAGAGTTTCGAGGACTCGAAACGGAATCACAGATTGTTTTCGTTGGGAAAGACTGAGGAGATTCTCGAGATGAAGGGCCGGACAGTGCGCTCACTCATCGAGTCGTTGAAATATGGCGTCAAACACGCGCACAATTCACTGCCCCTACTGTTGAACATATGGCTTGATTTGGGGACAGAGCTGGCGTACAGCATGAATCGCGGCAGAAGTACTGTTCCCCTCTCACAGAGACCCCATTCCCTGTTATTCGTCTAATTGTGTTGTTGTGGTTGACATACAGGTAGCGTCTCATCGTCTCAGCTGAACGAAGAGATCCGCAAAACGATTGAGAAAATCAATAACAATCTCAACGACCTGTTGGCTAACGTTCCGCTCTACATATTCTTCATAGTGTTCGCGCAGTTGACGGCACGGGTACTGCACCCGACCACAAGCATCCACACCCTGATCAGGAAGATCCTGATGAGACTGATCAGCGAGTATCGCGAGCAGACAATGTGGCTATTGATGCGATCGTATCACTCGAACAACCCCTCACGCAAGACCTGTATCCGGGCCACGATAAGCAAGGTTCTCGCCGACTCCCGGGACAATCACAATCAGCCGGAGCTCCGCAAGTTCGTCGTAGATATGGTTCGGTTCGCCGAACTCATGACATGTATGGCCCAAAAGGACGTACAGAGGGGTCAGAGGGTGCGGTCGGGCGTCAGACAGTTGCTGTTCTCCAAAGACTTCCCAGAATTGCATCGGCTGTTCGAGCGCACGGACTCCGACTTTAGCCAAATTCTGCTACCGTTCCGTTCGCTGGTGAACGTGACGCTCCCGAAGTCCACTCACGAGCAACACTACCAGCCCTTGGCCCAAAGGATGTCTATATCTATAAGTTTGAGGACACCATCGAGTTATTGCATTCACTGCAGAGGCCGAAGAAGATTGCGATCGTGGGATCAGATGGCAAGAGGTATACCATTCTCTGCAAACCCAACGA